ATTCTTTGTTACACTTCTGCTTCCCATGTAACAGTTGAAATGGGAACTGGGATGCCAGCAGGGCAGGCTAGTTCACTATGGTATCCTAAAATCTCTCTACTTCAGCATTCAAGTGGCTTTGAGCCATCCTAAGTTATTTCAGTAAATTTTGAGCAGCCTCTTACTTTAAGATTAACTTGTGCATTGTCAAGTGAGGATGCTTCCTTCATCCACAAAATTGAAGCCCAGGGTCAGAGGCTGTGGAGCAAGAACAGCCAATAATGCCATGCTGTGCATCTGCTTGAGCTGACTGTCAGGAAGATCAAGGCAAACATGCAACCAGCAGAAGGAAGAATCAAGTCTGGTGGACCTTAAACCTTGGCACATCTAGGCCCCCATACACCTTAAATCCATCTCTGGTGACACCACTTGGGAGGATAGAGGGTAAGAGTCTTAGCATTTAATATAGAAGCTGCTTTTGAAATAGTGATGGGGCAGAATCTGCACTTGCCTCAAGTCCATGTTTTAGCAATTAATGCTTACTACTCATTGAATTGAAAGCTTTCATGCTCCAACTTTAAGATGATGCCCCTAACCAGTAACATAGCTAGAACATAGAGCCTCAGGTTTAAAGAAAAATGTGAAGCCAGCCCAGTTTTTCCCCCTCTGTTCACTCAGCCCACTCTGCCCCCACAATCAAGTTACCAGTTTTTATTCTGTTCCCTTTGTAGGAACAGGGCTGCACACTGCTTCTAAAGTAATGCAAGTAGATCACTAGAGATGCATGCAACTCCCTTAAGATGGTGGACAGTCTGCTTCAGAGACAAAAAAAAGCTTCCAACCCCCCCCAAACCAACCTTTCAAAGTCCTTGTTTTGAACTGGACAATCTTTGCAGCTCTAGAAGTGTTCACTGTTGACCCAGTATTTAAATGCATAACATTTACAGGAAAAAGGGCAAATTTTGCTATTAACTTCTAAATATTAAGGAGCTGACACCACAGAAAACCTGAAGTACCTCCACAACACTACAGGTAAAAGTAAATCCATTTGAGGTTTAAGTGACCAGAACAGTTTCATAGCCTATTCACTTCCCTAAAAGCAAGTTATGTTCTCAGAGGATGGTTTAGTGAAATATTTGGTTTTTGGACTTTTCCATCTAAGTTTTGTTATAGATAGTATTCCTGAAGTTTACACATGTAACCACAAATTACTGCCACTGGCTTGTACTTAAAATACTTGGATTGTATGTCCATCTTGTTCCAGGATTTGTGGGTCTGATATTCCAGGCGTTTAAACACCTATAACTCCCCCTGATGCTCTGGGAGCAGATAGAGCCTGTGCCCAGAAATGCTGTCTAACTGAATACCTTGGTGTTATAAAGTTCAATTTCAGCAAATGGGGTTAGTTGTTTTAATAAGAAGCCAGACCATATTATCGGTTTAAATGACACTGTCAGTCTTAAAAAGGCCCAATCCAGAGAATGTCCTCTTCTATGTTAGGGAGGCTGCGGAAGCAGGAAGAGTTTCCAATGAGCAGGTATTCCCTTCTGAATCATGAATGCTGATTAGGCATTCTAGGTTTACGACGACATCCATGGGCAGTGTAAGTCATAGAATCCTAGAGCTGGAAGAGACCTCAGGAGGTCATCAAGTCCAGCCCCCTGGCCAAGGAGGACCAATCCCAACTAAATCAACACAGCCAGGGCTTTGTCAAGCTGAGACTTAAACACCTCTAGGGATGGAGATTCCACCCCCTCCCTAGGGAACCCATCCCAGTGCTTCACCACCCGCCTAGGGAAAGCGTTTTTCCTAATATCCAACCTAGACCTCTCCCACTGTAACTTGAGCCCATTGCTCCTTGTTCTGCCATCTGTCACTACTGTGAACAGCCTCTCTCCATCCTCTTTGGAACCTCCCTTCAGGAAGTTGAAGGCTGCTATCAAATCCCCCCTCACTCTTCTCTTCTGCAGTCACTAGTTCTTGGGAAGGATGTGCATCTTACTGCAAGGATAGATCCTTCTATCAACCACACTAAGAAGGGCATTCAGCACAAGACTAAAGTACATTAGTTTAAAAGTGTTTAGGGTCTTGAACACTCCTACCAGATATCAGTGATCTGCTTTAACATTCCACAGTGAGCCACTCTGACACTAGAAGATGCTGGCACACTGAAGATGTCTCCAGGGTATATCAGCACACACCAGAAGAGGGTAAACTGTAGAGTGTGTTTTAGTGCTGCAGTCTAACTGCTTTGTGTAAACTCTACTGATGCACCCTAAGATGTTCTTAGTGAATGTTAACTAGTAAGATTTCAAATGGGGCATCATTGTGTGCTAGGAACTTTTTAGAAGGTGTCAACAAAGTCTACCGCAGCAGTTGAGTGTAACAGTACAGAGTACTCTGGAATTTACACTCCCTGATGTACATTGCCACACTGTAGACAAAAAATAGTGGGGACTCATACTGTGATTTCAGAGAAATTTTGTTTTATTGTATTTTTGGGAATTTAAGCGTCCATATCTAAAACCAGGTGAAAGCCTGGAACCTACATTATCCATGTCCCTCTGTAGCAGCTCAGAGTTCTTTGGTGCCTTGATTTAATTAATCAGTTATCTTCAAAGTAAGTTGAAAAGTAGCAGCCCAGCTGCTGTTAAATACAGACTAAAACCACCCCCCCCCCAGCACCGCCATTTTACAAAGCCACTGGGCCCCCTCTAAGAGACTCTAAAAGACTCCTGTTAACCTCAGACAGATTAGTTCGGAATGTCCCTTTTTGTCTTTTCATATGAAAATTGTACAAAAGAAAGCATTTCCATTCAATGGAAACAATCAATGGATTGTTCTATCACAAAGGAGCTGCTGCACAGTGAGCACTCTAGGTACCTGAGAATATAACTAGAATGGACACAGTCTGCTTGGAAGCAGCATCCTGCATTTTCTATAGTGGGTATAGGTCTTCAGAACAAACAAATGTCTGATCACAAGCATCAATGTAATGCTTGGTTATCAAATTCAGACAACAGCTATCAAGGGGTTTGAAAAAGCTTACTGTTGACTTGACCTAAGAGCAGTGTAAAATTAGGCAAGAGCTCTAATTTCTTGATGCACTGAAGATGCTGGCCCCAAGAAGTACTGTGATCCTGAATCTAAAGCAATTTGCTTCAGTAATTTGGGCCTCGTATTATAGGATGCGTAGTCTAAAGTGGTGATAATAATGTAGCACAGCAGAATCTGACAAGACACAGCATGGAATGAAGGAAATTACTATTTATTCATTGACAGGTATACAGTATATGCCATTTTACAGCAAGTCACCACTGGGATGATGAAATGGAAGAGAAATACTCACTTCAGTCGAATGTTGGAAGGCATTGGAGAAAACCACCACAGTTAGGACTGTTAATGACTTACACATTGTTGATACAGGAATGAATTTGAAAACATGCTCTAACGTTAATCATAATATAATGAAGGTGGTTAGTGCCACATTAAAATAAAAATAGTTCTATACAATACGTTGATTTGGTCATGTGCTATTTACAGATTTTACAAAAAACACACACAAGCTTGTTACTTCTAAGTCAGGCAAAAACAAGGCCAGCAGAGTAACTCAAAATGTGTAACTGATGATTAGTGCTCTAACTAAACATGTAAAAAAAATTCCAATTTCTAACTATGCAGGACAAGTTATTTTTCCAGGTCACATTACAAAAGCCCTGATCTAAGAGACTGAAAATAAGTTTTTTTCATATA